CAAAGCAAGGCTATGTGAAAATTCAATGGAAACGTCAGCTCAACTCATATGATTGTGGGACAATTCTACTACCAGTCCTTCATCACCTTACACGAAATAGGGTGAATACATCTTATTACACTGATTTACTGGTAGTCTCAAAACCCTACAACTTACGAATATGTTTGCTATAACAATTGACTACATAACTTATTTTTCGTTCATAAGTAGGGCCTCGAGACTGCCAGTTGATCAGTTAAATGAGATGTATTCACCTTGTTCCCCACCAGCTGCCCCGCGTTTATCTCCTTTTTCGTGCCTACCGGTGGCCTAGACTGCATTGACTTCCACAAACCGAGTCATTAACCAACTATTTGTGGCTGATGGACAGCAGTAGTAGGAGGAGAGAGAGAGAGAGAGTGAGAGTCGGAGAGCAAAAAAAGGAGTGCCGCTGAGCAAGCATGGCATAATAATACTTGCTTCTTCTGCATGCATCTATCGAAAGCTTATGATAGGCGAGTAAGAGTTGGGTTCCGACATTACCCAACCGACGTGATGGTTAAAACAAAGAATAGAGGGTGTGGTCGTTAAAAATAGATTATCAAAGACAAGTTTTACATTCTGCTCTATTAATTTGATTTATCACTGCTGGTTTGATGCATATACGTGACCATTAAGACGCACAAATGCATACAAGCAGACACACACACACACACAAACATGCTTCTAGATCTTGACTCCTAAGCTTGAAGATTGTTGTAAGAATGATATTGTGAACTGATAATGCTTGAGTGAGACAAACCGACAGCTCTCCAAAAGCGATCTGCTATCGTCTTCTGGTGGGGTCGATCTTCAACTCGCTTCATTTGCACACGAACTGGAGATGAGCTCAGCAAGCATAGAAAATCCAACCCAAAAATGATATGTTTAATCAAATGGACAGGGATAGGCTACAAGAGGTGGGTAGTATTACAGCTTGAAGCTCGGGTGCACGTGAGTTGTGGGACATATCCGAGCAATCCTATAGTCACAGCTCTTGAAGCAATCTCTCTTCAACTCCTGGCAAGACCTATTCATGAATCCTTTCGACTCGTCTATTCAAGCGAAATGAACAGTAGGCCAGTATCGCCTTGTGAGATTTCATATCCCGACTCAAGCACCTAACACTGGGGTGGAGACTTTCCGTTTGTATGAAATTGCTGGCATCGAAACTCAGTTAATGCAACTGGTCGACCTATCACATTTTTGCTGTCAAGACATGACTTTTCAGTTAATCAAATCGACTGACCCTCGCGGCAATCTGGCGTTGTGATTTACATGTCGAGAATATATGCTGCACTTAAAGAAACCGGGTTCGAGTCCCTCTGGGGCGCTGATTGGATCAGTTCAAGCGATGATAAAAGTGAAGTCTATACTTGATGAGACTACCTTTCGGGGAGACAGAAACATTGGGAGAAAACTTAGACTACCAGGCTTTCGTCACCTTAAACGAAATAGGATGAACACAGATCTTAAAAAGAGAGTTGGGCCTCCTTGTCACCCGGACATGCCTGAAATGCAAGTCCTACTTTTAGCAGACCACTCGACATTGAAGCTAGGTTTCGTGGTCGTTTACGTTGATTGATCTTTCGTTTCCTTTCAGCGCTTGGGCTAAAGGACTTCAAAAGAGTAAGTAGATACGAGGGTCATGTTTGGGTAGCCTCAGATTCGGTCAGGGTCTCCTTTACCTGTATAGCGCTGGTTATTTTCGCAACTTTCTCGAGGTGAAATGGAGACTTTGTGGAACATGCCTAGTTTCGCGTCCTTTGTACAGAGTAGTTATGACAATTTCCACCAATCGACCGTT